AATCTTCACAGTTGGAAAAGACCTTGGAAAATTTTATGAAATCCACTCAACTTAGCTTGGAACAGGGGAATAAGAACCGACCATTATCAGAAACCATGATGCCTCAATCAAAAATTTGGAGACACAAATTGGGCAATTGTCAAGACAACTTGCGACCTTCCCAAGTTTGAGTGAAGGATTCTCCGGTAACACCATAGACAATCCTAAGAATGAAACACGAAAACCGGTGAGGACCAATTTGGGTGTAGTGACTAAGGGTGATGAAGTTAGAAAAATTTAAAAGGATGAATTTGAGAGTAAGAAAGGTGGAAGTGAGATAAAGGAGAAAGAACCTTAAGAGGACCAAGAAATAGGGAAAGTTACATTTGAGAAAGGCATATATGAAAACTCTCCAAGAAAGAGAACAAAGGATAAAAACTTGAGTAAACCAAATCCACCTTTACTCGTTTACATGGAACCACCTTACCCAATTATTAAGAAGAAACGAGTACCTGAAGATGAAGCTAAGACGTTTGAAAAATTCAAAGAGATTTTGAAACAACTTCCGGTAAGTATCTCTTTTCATGAAATTTTTTAATTAATTTTAAAGTTTGCTAAGTTTATGCAAGTATTGCTAAAAGGTGGAAAATAGAAGTTGATTCAAGAACAAGTCAACCTGACAAAGAAAATGGATACGACAGAACTTTTAGAGAGGCCACAAAATATGAAGGATCAAGGAGAGTTCAACATTGCATGCAACATTGGTGGGGTAAAAATCTCACATGCTTTATGTGATTTGGGATCGAGCATCAATGTTATGTCGTTAAGCACATTTAAAGAGATGGATATAGAAGAGATCAAGTCGAGCAACATGATGCTTATTATGGTTGATTCATATGAAACAGAACCACTTGGTATTGTAAAAGATGTGTTAGTTTATGTAAATAGTTTGACCTTCCCCTTAGACTTTATGGTGATTGACATAATAAATTATTAGGAAGATTCTGTGATTCTTGGACGACCATTCTTGGCAACTGGAAAGGCAAAAATAGATGCGAAGACCTGGGAATTGTTGTTGAAATTTAATAAGGAGAAGGTGGTGTTTAATGCATATGAATGGACACCATATGTGGAGGAGCTAGAGACATGTTATAAAGTGGGAAATAAAGGTGGTGGAGTTAACAAGGGAATGGAAAAAAGATTTTTTACCAACGTGAGGGTATCCCTTGCGCCTTAAGTGTTTTAATAAATTTTTTGTTTTGCAGATTTTTATTTTATTTTATTTCAAAAACTAACCACAAGAAGAACTAGCTACCAAAGAAGAACCTTGGCAAGATGATCCCATGTTTTTAATAGAATTATGTGTGGCTGTTTATTTTTCTTTTCAGATTTGCAAGTTTAACTTGAGCATTGAACAAATGATCCAAGAAAAGAACAAAAAGAAGTAACTCGATCATAATGAAGGCAACTGATGACTTAAAGGCAATGGAAGAGAAAAGAATCAATTGAATTGTACTCAACCTTCAGATACCTCATTTAGTAAGGTTTGAGCCTAAATATTTCCATTTTTCACTTTTTCTTTCTTAGAGTCTATCCATGCATTATTCTTTTATCTGATTTAATTTATTTCTGATTATGTTATCATGATTGATCAATACACAATGAAGCAATTTTTTGTATAACTCTGAGCCTTTGTAAACCATCTTTTAGTATTAGGACTATCCTTTTCTAAACACTTTGAGCTTAAACCTTTCTTTCGGTGACATAACCTTAAATTATTAGCAGTGTTACTTGTAAGATCCTTTTTTTCAACCCTTTCTTTGGAGTTAGGTAGAAGTATAGTTCTCCAAGTGTATAAAAAAGAGTAAGTTTGTGGTTGCTCTTGGAAGTGAGCAATACTTTAAGTTTGGGGTGTGGGTACTAGACAAGTTGATCCAAAATTTAAAAAAAAAAATTGAGAAAAAGAAGTGGAAAATGACACTTCTTAAAAAAATGATGAATAAAAGACAAAAGAAAAAAAGAATGACATTGTAAGAAGGATTAAAAACCTCTAGTACCAACAAAAAGGTATGATGAATGAGGGAGAACTAGGAACCTAACTCCTTAGGTTTAACCTTACTTTCCCAAATATATCCTACCCTAACATAAGCCAAGTTACAATCAAAAAAGCCCTCTAAATGTTTGTGTTGAGATTTCTATTATTAACTTTATTAGAACATTATCAAACTAAGTTTAATTGATTTTACATGTTGGTTGAGTGATAACCCTATTCAATTGAGTGATTTAAGTGAGTCGAGAGTTGGGTTGAGTACTAGTCAAGGTTGAAGATGTTTTCCAAAATTGTCGAATGGAAGTTGGAAGCCAGAATAATGGCCAGGTACCTAAAAATATAGGGTGATGTTTAATTATTGTTGTGTGACTTTTTGTCTTGAAATGTGCAGTTGCAGGTGAGTTTCTTGAGGACAAGAAAAGATTCAAGTTTAGGCTTTGTACCGTTGTTTATATTGTATATACTTATTTCCCTTCACATTTGCTCAAGTGTTGGTTAGGGATAGATGTTGATGAGAACTTCTAGATTGGCTTCTCTTTTGCTAAAGAGTGTCCAATGAAAATTCTACAAAGATTGGATGGTGATGATATGATGTTGAATATGGTGAATGCAGACAAGGAACATGGTTACCGCTTTTTATAATTGTAGAATGATTACGAATTTTGTGCTTTGTACAAATTTGTATTTTGTATAATTTTACAACTTATTTGAATGCTTGAGTCACTTAGATCCAAAAGGCATAAATTATGAGAAACCTCCATTGTTTACTAAATTCTTGGATGAGTGATAACTTTGTTTAATTCGTTTGATTCATACTTAATTTTTTATTATTGTGATTTTGTGGCAGCATTAGAAAGGATCAAGTCATTTGTTTATAATGAGCACAACCCTATCCAAAAGTAACTTACCCATTAGTAGTGAGAATTTGTTAACCCCTTTGAGCCTAATAGATTAGATCCTGTTTTAGTGATGAACTTGGTTTATGTATATAATTTGAAAGTTTAGTTCATCATGAATTTTATGGGATTCTAAAAAAAAATTCTTGAAACCTTTGAACATTTTCTAAATTGATTTTCTTGCCATAAAAAGCAAGTATCATTCACTTGAGGTGTGATTGTATTCAAGTTGGGGAGAATGAAAGAAAAATGGTAGGTTGTTAACTTTTTTGAATATGGTAAAGCATCACTGTACACATAAGATACCACTCCCATAGGGGTCTACAACTGAGGTCATGAATCCAAAGGATTATTCAATGTTATACTATGACCAACCAATTTACACCTTACTAACACATACGCGATAGTGAACCGATCTCTTCGAGATCACCACTTGGTAAGTCTCTTCCAGCTTTACTCCTTAGGTTCTTATTAGTCATAATAGTGATACACTCAAGACTTGATCACACTGAGTATGATCCACCAGGTCAATTTTCCAATGTCTAAGTTTTTTTACATCTCTACAGGTGATCATCTATGCACCACACTTACAAAATTACAATTTCAAAACTATCAATCTGACTTGCAATAACATGCAACTCCATTCTCAACCCTGCACATCCGCAACTCCATTATCAATCTGACTTCCACCTTTCGCTTAATACATACATGTTTCACTTGGAATAGCAGACATGTCCTCGAGCTTCTTCTTATACTACACTACTACCTTAAACCCTTATAAAGGTGTTGGACATCTCTAACTCTCAAACCCCTTAATCACTTGAAAGGAACATTTTTGAACATATTTTCTAGTGAAAGGTATCTCAAGGGAGGGTCCCTATCTCTCAAGCCCTCGACCACTATGGATAAAAGTTAAGTATTTAAAAGGTTAGAAAAATGAATTATGGTGAAAGGTATCTCAAGCAGGGTCCACTTTGAAAGGTTATTGTTATAGTAAAAAAGCAAGTGACAAAAAGACTACTTAATCACCATCAAAATTTTAAAAGATGAAAAATAGTAGTTTGAAAAACTTCTTGTAATCAAACTATAACATAGAAAAATTTGCTATTTTAGAATACAGTATTATTCACTATTGGACATGTTATGTAGTATAATATAATTCAAAACTTAGTATTTAGTTATCCGTCACTATATAACATTAAGTAACACCATTACACTATGAGACATATAGGTCAATCTCTGAAACATGACAATTCAGAGTACAAATAGCATTAACTAACACCATTGCATGCAAAAGATTATACAACATTTTCATTTTTCAAATGCATGAAGGCCTAAACTAAGATAGATATTGAAACAATATCACCAACGGTTCATCGAAAAGTATCTTTATGGTACAACAAAACCTCTTTTAATGTTGTCCATTGTAGACAGCTTTGTCAGTTCTTTTTTTGGTTCCTTCCTTCCCTCCATTGTTTTTCATTTTCTTTACACAAACATGCACACTTTAGATCCAGATTAACAAGATTCATTAAGATTATGAACATGTTAGTGTGGTTAATTATTAATTAATGAACTATCAATGGTTTCTTTTTGACTTAACTGTTTTGCCCATATGGCACAACAAAACAAAAAGAACAAGATTAGGGGTCCATTGAATAATTTTCATGAGCAGACAAAAAGAAAATTAAAGCCCCCAACATAAGTCTTCAATCAATGTTGAAATGAACAAAAGGAACTCACATGTAATTATCAACAAAAAGATTTATATAAAAAAAAATAGAAGAGAAGAGCATGGGATGTGAACATTAAAGAAGAATTCCATGTTTATTTGTCTCCTTGGCTCTAAACATAGTGAGTGATTTGCATGTATTATTTCTTTGTCCATTTCCACACACTTAAATTGTAGTTTTCACTTTTCAAAATTACAATTTAAACCCATATAATAAAACTATAAATTAAGCTCATAAATTATCACCATATCTTTAATTTAGTCTCTAAACCATATAAATATATAGGATTAAATAGACAAATTTATATATAAAAAGTAAAAAAATCAATTTCAATTACCTCTTCTATTTCTTTTTTCTCTTACTTTTTCCTTTACAAAACAATGAACCAAATCCAAAAAAACTTGCAGTAGCTTTAGGAATATAACTTTGAGGTAGATTCAAAACAGGACTAATTCTAACACCATTACTAGAACATTTCTTCAATGATGATGAATTATAGAAATAATATGTACTCGAAGTTGAAGATGAAGACGAAGATCTTCTACTGCTTGAAACAGAGGATTGTTTCTGCAAATTTTGCTTCTGTGTTTGCTTTGGATTCGGTGCTGAACCTGTTGAATTGCTCCTTGACAGGAATTGTAGTGATCGGATCAAGCTACTTCGTCGAGATGTATCGATGTTCAAACTGCTACTTCTTTTGAATTGCCAGAAATGTTTGGATGACGCTGATGTTGACGTTGGTTTCTCTTCTTCGTTGTCAGTTTCATCTGATAAGAATTCTTTGAGCCTCTTCGTTTTTGGAAGAGACTCGAAGAATTTATCAGGTGATGGATTCTTTTTTAACGGAAGGGTCTTTTCGTTAGAGATAACGTTTTTTATCTCCAACGGAATGATCTTTCCGTCTGAGAAGAGTTCGTCAGCCGAAGAGAATTTATGGGAAAAAGAATTGGTGACGGTGAATACGAAATCCGAGGCAGTTGAGTCTAGGAGACGTAAATCGGAGTGAATGTGGGGAGGTTCGACGGGGATTGAACCGGTTGAGGATTTTAGATCGTGTGAGAATGAGATTCGAGGACTGATTCCGGGGGAGATGGATATTTCAGTGTGTAATTCAATTGCCATGCTCTGTTTCTGAACCGGGATTCTTTACAAGAGTGATTGAGTGAGAGAGAAGTGAGTTTGTGTTGGGAATTATGGGGTTGAGAAGTCAGAAGTTGCAGCTTTATTTTGGTTCTGGTGTGTGAAAAAGTTAGGGGCTATCAGGATTAGCATTGAGTAAGAATTGGAAAAGATGGTTTAAGATAGGGAGAAAAAATAGAGTAGAGAGAGTGAAAGTAGTTGGAACCAATCACCGAAAGGCTATAAAAGGGTTACCTTTTTGGGAGATTTCAAATATAAGACTTTATTAATAAGAGAGAGAAATAAACCATGAGTTTTATTAGAGGGAATGTGAGTTTTGGTTATGAAAAAAAATGATGACACCAATGTAAATTATTCTCAATTGTTACTTTGATTACCATTAAACTAGTAATTACTTAATCTAGACAATCATCCTGTACATTTCATCTGCAATTATTTTTCTAACTTATTAATAATTTTGAACAATTTCAATATTAATCTTAGGCATTTATGTTGTCCTAAATGGTGGAAACATTAGGTGCTAAGTTAGCATTATGTGGTACGCAATGTAGGGTCAATTTTAGGACAATATGTTGGCATAAATGATATTTACTGGTAGGAAATTATTGTTGCATGACTAGGCACTATCACAGGGGTACTATTAGCACACACACCTTTAGACTTTAGTATTTCTTCAAGCAATGCTAACATCATGACCAAGATTGTGGAGATAAATGCATGCTGAATTCAAGACAAGAACACTAACTTTTTTCAAATTTAAAATGTAGTGTGAATAGTTTGGCATGGGAACAATCTCTTTTTCATTTCAAGTGTGAATAGGATGTGGAAAAGGACTAAAGCAATCACATTGGGAAGTGTTAAGGGTAAATTATTGCTATATTAGTTTATAAGTGAAGCAATTCACTTTTTTTTATAAAAGAAAAATGTTTGGATGAATTGGGTTTCAAGGATTCACAAGAGTCAAGATAGATTTTACTAACATTTAAAGGGATACTCACAAATTACTCATTAGAGATATTCTCATATTAATAATATGAATCATCTTAAATTTTAAGAATGCTCCATTATGTTGAGGAGCACCCTTACATTGTTAACTTGAATGACTTTTTTTACATGCATGGAAGTTAAATGGAACTTTACATCATAGACATTGGATAGACAAATACTTTATTTTTTACTCATGTATCATGGTTGGAATTAATGGCAAAGATAGTGATAAGAGAGTGATAGTGAATGGAAAATGGAGCATAATGTATCTTTTATTATAAGAGAGGAAAAATCGTTGAGTTTTTATCTCTATCTCTCTCATATATCACTCTCTAGTATTAATTATTATTATTATTATTATTATTATTATTATTATTATTATTATTATTATTATTATTATTATTATTATTATTCATTTGTTTATCTTTAAAAAGCTTCAATAAAATACATTAAAGTCACCATGATTTTTTCTCTCTAAAATAACTAAATTAATTTCCATCTTTTGAGGAGCATTCTTTTTTTTTAACAACAGGAGCACATAGTTAATTGTTAGGATATTTTAGACTCCAAATATTAACATGACTTTGTTATAAATGTCATTTTTTATATATTTAAAAGCATGAACATATCTATAAAAAAAGAAGCGCGTGTGAACTTTTAAACCGACCTGTAAGAAAAAAAAATTGATATTTATGATATCTGATGTTTGGGTGTATGAGTGACTAGTAGAGAAACATGCATGTGTAAATTTAACTATTGATTGTTCTTTCATGGGATTGAAAACTAGGAATTTTATTGTGGGACATGCAATCCTCATAATCACTACGAGTTCCAACAATTAGTATGTTTTTATACTATTTGTGTTTGGAACTTTTTGCTTTGTACCACCAAAGATGATTAATCTTTTTTTTTTTAATCAAAGGTTCATGCATATGTTGTGTGTCCTAGATCTATAGATGTAGTTTTATAAATATTGATTTTGTCATCTAAAAAGATTAATCGATACAATTTGTTGTTTTTACGCCTATTCACAACATTAAATTTGATATTAAAGAGTGTTTTTTCCTTCTCTAGCTCTTTAAAAGTCATAGCAAAATGAGAGTGTTTTTAAAAACATTATACTCCCTTCATTTTAAAATAACTATTATTTTAGAGGAAAATTTTGGTTTTAAAATTAATGAGAGTCGTTCTCACTTTTCAATGTAGTAATAATTATTATTTTTCCAATTGTGTCATATAATTATTATTTTGTACACTATTTCCAACAAATTAATAAGACGATTTTAGTAAAAGTGCAATATCTTATGACAATATCATTGTATTCTTTAATATGTGTGTAAAAACCTTAAACGACAGTCATTTTAAAACAGAAGAAATAATATGTAAGATCGTTATTTTTCCAATTTATTGTATCTATGTTGAAATTTAAAGTACTTTTATCTAAAAATTTGTAAATAAAAGTATTATAACAAATTTTAAGCACACTTTTCTAAATAAACATTTTTTTATTAACAAATTTAGTACCTATAAAAAGTATTTCTTAAAAATTAATTTTATATAAAATATGTATTCATCACATACTAAAAAATATAATATACATCACATGAATATATATATATATATATATATATATATATATATATATATATATATATATATATATATATATATATATATATATATATATATATATATATATATATATATATATATATATATATATATATATATATATATATATATATATATATATATATATATATATATATATATATATATAAATTAGTATTTCTTTTGAGAGGCTCTTTTTTATAATGAATGTAATTTATTTTTTACTATGAGAAATATTGAATTGATCCAAATTCTTTTATCGGGGTTATTTTCCCGTATAGAAAAAATTGTTTATATTTGGATCAATATTAAGTGATGTCTAAATCAAATGATCATCATTGATATTATTTTTTTCACAATTTCAATTGTTGTTATTGTTAAATTTGTTCGTCAAAATAACACTTAGTCATTTTTCATCAACAAAAATAGTGGCATAAAACATTTGGTAAACTTGTGATGCTAATATAAAAGTATGTTTTTTATAGTCAATTTAATTAAGATCTATCTGCAATAATCCATAATCATTAATGCAAATATCATTGTTGTTTTTAACTTGCTTACAACCAAACAATGGTACATGAAATAACTAATACTCCTACTTCCAATAGCATTGTTGTTTTTGATATTGAAGCGGTTTGTTTCTTCTTATATTGCAAAAAACCACATTTGGGGCACATGCTTAATGATGCATACTCATTTTGAAATAAGATACAATAATTAGGATAAACATGTATCTAATCATAACTCATGACAAGCAAACACTGTATTTTCTTAACCTCATAGGTTTGACTAGGGAACATGTTATTGTCAAGTAACATATCTTTTAAAAGACTTTGTAAGTCGATGAAGTTCTTATCAAACATTCATTGTCAACTTTAATGTTATACAATTTTAAGGTCATAGACAATTTTGTGAACTTAGTATATCCATCATACAACGATGTCTCTACATTACTCACCTGCTTCTCAAACATACGTTGAAGCATGCCTTAAAACGTTATGTGATGAAGAGAAATGAAACATATTTTGAAATTGCAAAAATTAAAAATTAGTCTAGAGGCGAAGGCGGCGGCAGCGACGTGACATTGTATTTGAGTTCGGCGGGTGGTTCACGTGTATTAGGATTTTTTGTTGTTTCGCCTCCTAGATTTGTTCTTTATTGAGTTTAGTTTTGGATTTTTATGGATCCATTGGATATTAGTAGTTATAAAAATATATCTCCATCAGTCTTGTCTCCACAACCTTCATAATTTAAAGCTAAAGAAATAGACAAGGGGTTAAGAATCATAGTGGTAATCTTAGAGGGGAAATGGTTAAGAGTTTGTTATTGGAATTTGAGAAACTCTTAGTGATATCTAAGAATGATTGAGAAATATTTTTAAACACTTTAAATTTGTGTGATTCATATATAGAGAGACTTGGAGAAATTGAGAAACACTTAAATAGAAAATATAATTTATTTTGGGGAATTTATGTGACTATATTTTTATAATTCATTTGTAATCTTTTGTAATAACTCTGGAAAGTATAGTGAATTGAAGAATTATTTTTTCCTTCATTATAAATTGTTTGATTGAATTGACTAAATAAATTATTGAATTTTTTTGTCTGTCGAAGATTTTTTATTTTAGGAATCATTGTTTCTCTCTCTTCAATTTCACAAAAGGATACTTTTCTCTTTTTAAATATAAATTTGAATTTATTAAAATATTCTCCGATATATGTTACTAATTATGTATATGTAAAATTGTAATCCATCCTTAATATTTAATCACGCATTAATACATTTGATTGTGCTAAGATGGGATATTTTTCGTTTGTAGGTATAATTTTTTTGTAATGCTTGTAAATGTAATTCTAGTTTTTCGTATAGAAGAAAATTATAAAGAGGTGTTCCATTTTAAAGTACAAGGAAATTTACAAAGTAATTGTATTATATTATTGACCTACATACTTTAATAACATATCTGATAAGTGTATAGCTATTTAATAGAAAACTTTAGTTTATTGTATAATGCATTGTGATTGGTGAAAAATAAAAAGAAAAAGGAATCTACATGTAGGATGGGTGTGGTATGATATGGGGGCATGTCCATATGTTTGTCAGAGTATTTTGACAGCATTGGATCATTCAGATCAGATCATAATGGACAGCGGTTATATAAGATTGGATGCATTTGGCATCTTCATGTTATATGTTTATGGAAGAAATAAATGAGTTATATATATATATATATATATATATATATATATATATATATATATATATATATATATATATATATATATATATATATATATATATATATATATATATATATATATATATATATATATATATATATATATATATATATATATATTAATTCATCTTTTAATCCCTTA